CATTTGGCGATTCCGGTTCATCACAGATCTTAAAGACGTCCCCTCATTCGGCGATTCCGGTTCATCATCATCATCATCATCATATATATATATATATGTATGTATGTATGCGCCCGTTCGGTTAATCATGGCCATTCCGGCTCTTCGTTTGTCTTAAGCAGACCCCTCTTTTGGCGATTCCAGTCATCATATGTCTTAAACACGCCCCCTGATTTGGCGATTTCGGTTCATCATATATATATATATGTATATGTATATGTATATATATATGCATTAAACACGCCCCCTCATGTGGCGGTTCCAGTTCATCATACATCTTAAACACAGCCCCTCGTTTGACGATTCCGGTTCATCATAAATCTTAAACACGTCCCCTCCTTTGGCGGTTCCAGTTCTCATCATACCTCTTCATTTAGCGATTTCCGTATATCACTTTTTTGATATATATATATATATACATACATAGCATATCATATATCTTAAATGTGCCCCGCCTCAATTGACGATTCCGATTCATCATATATCTTACACAGACCCCTCCTTTCGAGATTCGGGTTCAGATAGATAGATAGGATACGTAAGAAAGATAGGTAAAACCACGTCCCGTGTGCCGCGCGCCTTGGCATGCCGCGGCCTGCGCCCCGCACCCCCGCGTCCCATGCACGCCCCGCGTCCAGCGTCCGGCGTCCCGCGTCCTGCATCCCGCGTCCCGCATCCCGCGTCCTGCGTCCTGCCGCCGCCGCGGCTCGAAAAAAACCTGAACCCCGGAAGGAATGTAGTATGCCCGGATATTCCAAGTTTCATACTTGGCGGACTTCGCCGCCACGAGACTGGTCCTGCTGAAGCTTTCCATTTCCAGTGTTGCACATCTTCTTTGAACCAGTTGGCGCGCAGAATCCGGGAAGGGTTCTTACTCAGCACGGATGGCAGGCTCGCGGGACACTGCCTGCCGTTGACGTGGATGCTTTTGTGAGGGGAGGCGACGCTGGCATTGCAATGCCTGTCATAGAGGAGTGCACAATCGGTCCGTGAGCGATCCTGCAGACTGGGAGTCAGCAGACCTTCTGACGATTCCAACCTTATCCAGTGCTCGTGCCGGCACAGATCTGCAGGAAGGCCAGGCGCCGTTACAAATCCGGTTCGTGCAAAGCGACGACCCGCCAGCCTCTTCCCTCTTCCCCCGAGGTTCCCCAGATGCTCCCATGGAGTGGCCAGTCTCGGAGGAATTCCCAGCAGCCTAGCACTCCTGCGCTCCTGTGTTCAAAAGCGATTTTTGCAGGAAGGAGCATTCTTGAGCGACGGCACGAACCCAAGACAGCGGGAAGAAGATGGAAGAAGAAGTGAAGCCACAGTTTTGTTGTTTTTGAGTAGTTCTCCCTGCAAAGATGCAGGCCACGGGCTGGACAATCCTGAAGAGCTTGGCATGGACGGCGACGAGGTGCACATGAAATGGGGCGTGAACACTGTCAGCAAGCCTTTTACAAGCAGGAAATGGTTCTGGAGTGGGGTGGTGACGACGCTGGCCACATTACTGCCGGCCTGCTTCTCACATGGTGAATCAAACGCACTGTTCAGCATGTTGGGTTGGCTCGAGGCGATGACTACAGCTTGTCCGACGATGACGCTCCTGCCGTGGACTTAGTTTGGAAAGATGCCACCCACAGTGGTTGGTGGACCAAAGTGAGCTACACCTGCTGTCTGCTTGTCCACGTAGCATTGACGTATCCAAGGAAATTCCGGGGGTTTGGTTTTTATATTCGGGGGGTTTCGGCGCATCCGGGTATGAGTCGGATTGACAGGAATAGTGAGCCAGACACAACGACCGTCAGCCCTAAGCCCTAAGCCATAGAGTCCCTAGAGCCCCAAGCCCTGAGCCCTAAAGCCCTAAACCTCAAGCTCCAAGCCCTAAGCCCCTAAACCCTAAAGCTCTGGTCCTTTCGGTTCAGTTTCATTAGTGCTGCTGTAATCTTGACTCCATTAAAATTAATACAATCCTCGCCCCCCCCTAATGGTTTTAATTAACTTTCGATTGTGGGCCCGAAACCGCGAAATCCCGGGCCAAGACATTTTTATATAGGCGGGGGTTATTGTTAGGGGGAAGGGATTGGCTTGCTGCCGACTCGACACGGATTCGATATTTCGATGTACCCTAGCTTGTCGGCATCTGTGTCCATCAAGCCTTCTACATGCTTGCTTGAGCAGCACATGTGCTTTTCCAACGCTTGGCTGCCCATCAAGCCTGTCCTGGACCTACAAAAAGCCCGCCAGGGCGGCCATCCATTGCTTCAGATCTTCGATGTTGAAGCTACACACAACTTAAAATTCTGAAATTAATATTCACGATCCAGGTCCAGTCCTTATCCTTGATCCTGGTGTTGTGCTCTCATGGTGCCGAAGTAAGCATGCTGATCGCCTCAGTTCCTGCTCGCTCACCGCCCGCAGTATGTGGCGAGATGTGCGCTTGGACACAAAAATCCCGGTCACTAACGACAACTCGTCACAGCCTTTCGTCTTGTTTTTCGTTCGAATGCGAAATCCTTTCTCCAAGGTCTTTCTCCCCGTGGCCGAGATTGTCGAGCCAGCAAAGGCACGGAAGCAGTACATAGCGAATCACAGCCAATTCTTTCCACCTGACGCCATTCTGCCGCCGGTTGTGCAGGTAGTTGGGGTGGTTTGGCAGACTTTGAGGGCGTCACTATCACAATTGTGGATGTCGTGTTGGGGCGCAGTGTGTGTGTGTGCGTGTGTGTGTGTTTGTGTGTGTGTGTGTGTGGGTGGGTGGGTGGCGGTGATGGGGGGGAGGGGCGGGGCTGATAGCGAGAATCAATGTTCCATCATCATCATCATTATCATCATCATCATCATCATCTTCATGATCATGGTCATCATCATCATCACCATCATCATGATGATGATGATCATCATCATCAACATCAACATCCATATCAAGATTGTCATCAACATCACCATCATCATCATTTGCACCATCATCATCGGCACATTTATGTTCATCATAAAGAACACCCGTGTCCTCCTCCTCCGCCTCCTCCGCCTCATCATCATCATCCTCATCCTCATCATCATCCTCATCATCATCATCATCATCAGCATCATCATCGCCATCACCATCACCATCACCATCACCATCATCATCATCATCATCATCATCATCATCATCGCTTCTGTGGGGACGTCCTAGATCTTCTGTCGTTCTGCGGAAGACTGAAGATTGCAGCTTTGAATGCCATAACATGTGAAGCTTTAGCGCTGGAAGGCAAATCCCCTGTGCGCATAGAGCATGCCGAATCCTATGCGCCTGCCAGCGAATTCACGCGCCTAGGAAACAGAAAAGCACGAACTGCTCCCTATCGTTGGCCTTGACATGAAATTGTCTGAATACGCACATTCGCTGCGTCAAACTGGGGGTACGCACCCTAGATTTTTGGCAGCGTTTAGAAGAAGGCTTAGGGCAAGCTCCTTGCCCAAATAGAATGTCCCTTACTGTGATGTTCTTCCAGCCGGTCTTCGGCGCCTTCAGTTTTAAGTGGAGCGGCAGACAGTTGGCAGAAAGCTCTCAGCGGCCGCAAAAGCCTGTGAGGCTTTGGACTTGGAGCTGCCGGCAGGAGCTTGTGAGCGGCACGTGGCAGGGTGCAGCAGTGCAAGCGCAAGGACCATGGAGCGACGAAGATTTGGAGAGGTATTCGCGCATGATGGATGAGTGACCCGGCATGGGAAGAGATGGGCAGTGCCATGGGATGAGTGGCACGGCACGAAAGCTTGGCACGGCTCAGGCATCTCGTGGATGCCGTCGCCTCATCGCCTGTCAGCCCTCCTGCACTTTTTCTTGGGAAAATGTACCGCCTCCGAGGCCAAGTCAACCGGTCGGAAACCCGGGAGGGTCAGGAGATGAACTCTTCTGATGCCTTTTTCGTGTACTTTGCATGGTTTCAGGCGCCGCGCGCCCTTCGTGAATGCTCACACGGCTCGCATCTCTTCCTCGTCGTAGGTTGCATGTTTGCAGTGATTGGGTTGGAGACACATCAAAGAAGCGGCTGCTGATCATGTCCGTCATGTTGGTGACTGTTGGGGACGATGTCGGGTACAAAGCATGACTCTTGGCGCGAGCTCCGTGACATGCCGCGACATGTTCTACGAATCGGCCGATGTACATAGCTGGTGTCAACTCCCAGTCGAAAGTTTCACCTCACCCGTTTCACACGAATTTGCTAGGGCAGGTGTGATCTTGTCAGGGTGCTTGGAAAGTTCTGGAACAGACCGTTGCATGGTAGGGTCCGGCAAGGACTGCTCATTCCAGCCGTCTGACACAGTATGGTGCCGACACCCAGCTGTTCAGGATACGCCGATGCAGACATCATAGCCACTAGAAAAAGACATCTTTCGAAACCATTGTTCAAGTCTGTTAGTCAGAAGCTTTCATCTCGTCCGTGAAATGCCTTGCCGATTCCGATGCCATGAGTCGCCTGGTGGCTCCGAAGTTGTTGATACCGTCTTTGGGCCAAGGGGAACGCGGCGCTGGCTCGCCAGCTGAATTCGAGTCTGCTCCTTCCGAGTCACGGCCAAGTTCCAACTTGGCTACTTCGCAAAACAGGCCTTTGCACCCACGGTGCGATGGACACGCACCTCGCCCGATCGCTTCGATAGAGTCCTTCTCATCAAGGTCAGATTCCAAAGATTCGTCTCTGCCCTTGCCATTCTCGCAGCGTCCAGATCCACTTCATTCGGCCTGGAGTGCAGAGAGCGAAGTGGTGAGTCAAGCTGATCCCATAAGCCCAAGCAGCGCCCTAGGTGGGGCGATCTCCACTTTTGGGGCTCCGGCAGAATGGTGGCATGATTCCATCATCTTGGGCAGGCTTAGTGCTTTGGCTCTGCGATACTTTGCTACAAAGGCGGTCAAGAAACCGTGGAAAGCCTGGCTACGATACCTCGATGCTGTCCGCCATAAAGAAGAAAGCCGCTTGCGCAGCCAGCTGCAGCTTGCGCTGCGCTTGTGGAGACGGTCACGCCCCTAGGAAGGAAGACAGATCGACAGCGGGTTCTGGGACCCAACAGCTGTAAGTAAGGCTTCCATCGCTTTAGCTTCGCTTTAGGAGGGAGTATACAGTGCGATGTTTGTGTCAGGAGAAACAGGGCTTTTGTAGCACAAGCCCACTGCTGGGTGGAGCTGACTCGCGCTGGGTCTCGTGATGAGGCGCACGGTGTGGCATGGACGACGTCTGGCGCCGAAGCGATATTTGCATGGTTGTGACAACGCATGAACCTTAGAGCACTTATGCTCTGCAAGTGACAGCCAGGCGCCCTCTGCTGCTTGCCTTGCAGAGGCCTTTGCCACAGCTTCTCCAGATTGCTTCGTCCAAACACTCTAGGACTTTCCGTTCTGAGCAGGATTGCACAGACACACTTAGCCCCGGTTTGGGGGCGGTTGCGTCAGGCACGCTCGGCACCAGCTATGGCCGGCTCACCTTATCGCACTGGCCCCGCTTGTAATGCAAGGCTGTCTTTGCGCAACGAGACGTGGAGCGCAGGCTTCGAGTGTCGGGATCTCACTGCAGCAAAGGTTCAGTGTACATGCAATGCCACCTCGTGAGTTTCCCGTGTACTCGGCACCAGCACGCCAATTTCGCTGGTCGCCATGCTGTTGGACGCATGCCAAGGGATGAGGCATCCCGCAAGGTGTTGTCTTTTAGTAAAATCTGTCGATCTTTCCCTCCCTGGGTAGTCCTAAACTGTCTCAAGTTTCCTTTTGTCTTCCTTCACTCGGCGATACGCGGTATCCGGCATCGTTCCATTGAGTCCGCAGCCCGCATCAATCGACAAGCTTGGGCGAGTCTCGCTCAACAGCAGACCACACTTCCATGCGAGGCTGCACCTGATTCGCCGGAAGATGATGGAAACCATGGCCCAGGCCATTTGTAGATTGCGGGAAGCCTTTGTGTGCTCGTGATCTGTATCCAGAAAGGTACACTACTATCAATCGCTGTCGCTTGGCTTGTTTCAGGTAGGCGCCGCAAACAATCGCCGGAGCAAACTACTCAAAGCTTGCACGTAACCTTTGGCAGTGGCTGAGGTTGCGACTCGGGCTTGCGGCACTCTGGCTGGCCTGGATCTGAGAGCATTTGCTCGGGACATCAATGTGCGAATTGAATGCCTTCGCCTCTTTTCACTCAGCCTCGGCCGCAGCCTAGAGCCCTGCTTAAAGCATTGCGCTCAAAGTGTTCTGCCTCTGTCTGAAGGCAGTCAAAGTAAGGGACACATCGTCCAGCTCCGTTGCATCAGCTCCAGTAGCGGTGCTCCTTCGGCCTTCTTTGTCTGAAATCGTCTGAGTTGATGAGTCCCTCTCCCACCTGCGCAGGTATGCTCGACCCGTCACACCCATGTGCAGCAGGCCATGCAAGATGTTCAAGTTTAGGCACAAAACTAAGTCGCAACTGGACCTCAGGGCCTTGACCCGCTAGATTCCGCTGGATTCTGCGGGGGGCTGCGTGCCCGGCCCTGCCAGGCTGAACTCTTTGATGTCCTTTGCAGGTTTTGAGCCGGGCTTGGCGCCGTTGGCGCTTCGCGACCCGCGATGGGCCCAATTGTAAACCCACGTCAGCGTGTCATCCTTGTGAATCTTTGCGATTTGTGGTGCTCCTGCGCTATGCTTAGCAAGTCCGGCCCTGTTTTTTGGGCTCAGTGATGCAGATTTAGCTTGTGCAGACAAGTAGCTCGCAGGAATGTGGATAGACATTTCGGATGGGGCCAACCAGGAATCCGAGTCCATCCAGCAGGAAGAAAGGACTGCGCTGATCGGCCAAGATGGTACAGACCAGCGGCAGGCCAAGTCCTGCAAGATCAGCCGTTTCTCTCCGCTCAAGGGTGTGGTTCTGACCTGAGCAGGTCGTGAAGAGGGATGCCGACAGCTCCGATGATGATGCTTTGAGTACTTCTAGAAGGTGTCGCTTCACCACCGGGATGTTCTTGCTCTGCGTTGCTGCTGTGATTCTGATCTTCTATCCGCAAGCAATGGCTCATCGACATTTTTCGTGTCTCGGAGTCGACAACAAGTTTCGGTCGTTGAGTCCGCCTAATCTGTTCTATTTCAAGAGTGAAGAGGTTCGGCCTCAGCGGTGCCTCAGGAAGACTCTGGTTGGCCTAGAGGAATGGGAGCAAATCCCGAATATATCGGGTGTCATCAAACGTGCAGAAGGTGCTGGCTTTTCTGTATTGTCGTTTCGATGCTGTCTTCATGCATGTGATGCGTTGTCCTTCCATGTAATGCAAGGGACTCACGCTAATGCAGGTTTGGATGCGGCCAAGACGACGCGGAATTTGCGCGACCTTTTCACCCAGTATGGGCCATACCAAGATGGAGAGCTACCGTGGGTAAGAACGCAATGTGTTGTTGACTCTGTTCAAGCATCGGCATATCTGGTGCAGGCGGTGGTTTTCTTGTATCGAGCCATAGACTACCAGGGTCTCGAATGTCCAAAGAACACTCCTTCTGGATGTGCTGTCAGTATTGCTGGCTTTATCGCATCTCTAAGCTGGGTGGCATCGTACATCAGCTTGGCCGCATCGTCCTGTGGGGATGCGGTGAACTCGGGTGCGCTTTGTGCTGCTGACTGGACTGCACTGATGGCGGATTTTGCAGAAGTTGCCTCGAGTGGTGCAGCAGTCAAAAACGATTGTGATTTCGGAGGGAAAATCAGTGCCTTGCTCCTCCACATCGATCGCAATCGCAAGACACATCCATACTATCACTGGGAGCAATTCCTCCCAGCTGGCGCTGGGCCAGCCGTCATCATGGCGCGCAAGAGACATGTGCCTTTTCCTGCAACAAGATTTCATAAATCATAATTTTGCAGTGGTCTTAAGCTTTGGTGGCCTTTCCTCAGAGGCCTCTCCGAGGGCTGCTTACCTGCGTAGCCACAGTCTCACAGTGAAGGTGATATGCGGGACAGCTTCTGTAACAGAGGGAGCAGGGATCTTGAGATTGAGCAGAGGGGAAGCATTCTCGTACCGGATAACGAAACACCTAGACTAGACGTTCCTTCCTTGATGCACGAGGTAGAAACACGCCTCCCCTACCGGACCACTGCTGAAGGGAAATTCGATAAACCAACATCATCATCAGCAGCATCATCATCACCACCATCATCCAGACCTTTCCGAGATGGGTACGATGCGAGACTTTGACGTCACGCAGTGCGTCGTCGATGTGACGAACGCCGCAACTTCGATGCATTGTAGCACTTACTCCTTTCACTCTCTTTGGTGGTGCCTTGCAGCAACCGGCTGAGGCAGCTTTCCTCGTACGGGCGACGCTGCAAGTTCACACGGCAACAATAGCTTGTCCCGAACCAAGGCCAGGGTTTCGGTTCCCTGGCACGACGCGAGCACCGTGTTTTGCAGGGCCTGCAGCATAGACATCTTGGATGTGATCTCTTCGTTCAGCTGGATCTCACGTTTTATGTTGCTGCCTTAGTTTCCGGACCACGTTACAGACTGTGAGACAGTGATGTGAGTGGACGTGCGGGACTTCTGCGCATTGCACCATTCAGATCTCTGGCCGTGACAGACTGCTCTGTTGGGGGAAGCCAGAAGGCCAGCGGTGATGGCACAGTCACTGGCGCCGCTTGAAGTGAACGGTGTGCCAGGCACTATGTGGTGCACAAGTCTCAAACTTGGTCGCGGCAGTTGCTAATGGCCCCGCTGTCGGCTTAGCCACGACATCAGAGACTTGGCAGAGTTCGCGCCATCTGGCCACATGAGATTCTGCTAACTCGGAATCGCAATTGTACTTTGCTTTGGAGAAGAACTGGTATGGGTGACCAGCACCAGCAGGCTTGAGCACCCGAGCAGCAGCAAAGGACACGGATGTAGTGCGATGCCCAGGGCTGGAGTGATTGCACGGGGCAGCCTTCCAGTCTTAAGTCCGCATTCGGGGGTCGGCAGTCAACGGATCAATCAGATCACGCTAGCGAGGTCAAGGGCCGTTGAGTTCTGCAATCCCAACTTGGCGAGATATCGTTCTCCCCGTATTCACAAGCGTTGCCATTCCACCACGGGCTTTCAGTATCTTTTCTCACAATCGAGTCTTGGTGTGCAGTGTACAGGCAGCAACACCTCCAAGCGCTTCGTGAATGTCGGATTGATTGAAGCATCGTCAAGCCGTGTGAGATTGGGAGAAGGGAAGATTCAATGCCGTTGACCCTCAGGACATGAATCTGGGTGCACAGAATTCAATTGGCAAATTCTTCAACACCTGCACCACTTTCTGTTGGTTTTTGGTGCCCTTGACTTTCAAATCCTCGATGCTGAAGCTCATTAGAGTCCTACAGCAGCACCAACCCGGAGAGTGAAGCAGCAGCGGCGAAATAAAACGATCCCAAGGTCAGATCAAGGGAGATCCAACCCGTCGATTGTGGCTGCCTGTTGTCGCTGTAAGGATTGCGCGGATTACCCAGACACAATGGATGAGAGGCTGCACGAGCCAACAACATGAAGGCCTGCGGTCGGAACTGCATCAAGCATCTATGGGCTTTGACGCAGCATGAAGCAGCAGTAGCACCCGGGCATGCTCATACAGATGTAGCGCACGTAGGGGTGCTTCAACGCCCAGTTCGCTTCCAAACGTGCCAGGAATTGACGGAGAGACTCGGCTACGATGCAAAATCGCCTGAGAGCCTGTCGAAGACACGGCTCGGGGTGATGCTTGAATGGTCGCAAAGGATCTTCCACTCAAGTGGCAGTGCCTCTCTGTTTGTGAACTTGTGGAGTCGGCTAAGCTTGCGATGGAGCTGCACCAAAGCAGTTGCAGTCCGTTGATGCAAGCGGGCAAAATCTGAAACCCACTGCTCCCTTCCACCTACTCCTCGCTCCGCCGGGTGCGGGAAAAGCCTCGAATCAGATGAAAGTGGGGAAGAGTTGTCGCAGTGCTTCGATCCCGAGGGATGTGGCTCTCATCTGCTCAGTGCGCCCGTCGTTCATGGTTTTACCGCTGTTATGTGAACATCGACAAGTGTGCTGCATGCATTCAGCATCGGGGCTGCAGATCGCAGCTCGCTGCATTCCCCAGGTACCGGGAGCGAGAACTTGAGGCCGGCGAGCGAGACTTTCCGCAAGGGGGAGTGTGTTTCTAACTGCCATTGACGGATGGACGGGCACCTACGGGCACCCGGCACAGGCCTGGCTGACTGGAGAGTGCTCGACTCCTCGGTCCATGATCCTTGCTGAGGCGCATCATTCTCTCTCTCTCTCTCTCTCTCTCTCTCTCTCTCTATAGCTGCTGAAAGCATGCTTTCACCCACTGGTAACCCGGTACCCCGGCCCCTGAGGCCTTTGAGTCTCTACCTGTGGCACCCTGGCTGATGGCAGCGGGCGGATTGAAGATTTCACAAGAGCTCTCAGCTTAGGCCGAAACCGAAAGGCCGGTCTCAGCCACGGCCATGTCGTCTCCTTCGCCAGTCAGGGCCTCTGACTGCTGGCCTGCCCTGAAGAGCGGTTCCACAGCGCAGCTTCGTTGCCAGAGTCTGCGCAGGACATTGTCCGCCGGCACCCCTTCCTCGCAGAAGGCTCTTCCAAGACAGGTTTCACAGCCACGGTTGCAAAGCTTGCACTGTCCTGGCAGGAAGCAGTGGGCTTCAGGTGCAGGCTCTGAGAGTTCGCAAGTTCTGCCTCGTCGTAGATGGAGAAGAGACTTACTTGCAGGCTGAAGTAGAGCCTCTATTGCTGCAGGACGACCAGGTGGCAGGGAATGTTAAATGATGTTGACTGTTACAGTATCATTGGCGCAGTTTTCTGCTGCAGCCCTTGTGCCATCTTTGCGTGTGCCACAGAGGCAATGGATGCGGGCACCCTCGGACGACAGGTAGCCTCCAATCAAGATTTGAAAGCTTTGCTGTGCTTTCGTGGCCGTGTGTGGTCTCAAATCTCTGCGAGCTGCATCTATCAGAGCTGCGGGCTTCTGCTTCTCGACGTGGGGTTCAAGGCAGCTCCTGTGCAGGCTTGGCTTCAAAGATCCCGCAAGCTGAGTACTGCGCAGAGGCCGCTGAGATGAATTAGTTAGGCGAAGTGGAGTATCTGTGAGTATCATGTGGAAGACAGGTCAAGACAGCTTTCGCAGGCGCACTGCTCTGAAACGCTTCGTTAAGGCAAATTCCGGATTTCCGTGTTGTGCAGGTGTCAGGAAAGAGCTCCAAAGGTGTTGCCTGCAAGGATTGCTCGCGATGTCGACGTGGTGGGGTCTCAACAGGGCAAGCCGACAGAACTCACTGCTCGCACTCGCACCCGCCAAGTGCCAGAGATGGGGCTGGGGTTCCCGTTGAACAACAGAACGATCGGCAAATCTGCCACTCTTTCACAACTCGTGGCAGGCAAAGACTTGGACAAGCACCGGCGCCATTCCAGCGAGGTCTTCCAAATCGGACTCTCTATACCTGCACCAGTAAATTAGGAATCTGTCTTGTAGTGTCGATGCCTTAGATTGTTGTCGTCTTCACTCCTAGTTTCTATGATGGACAGGATTCAGGCGCCGGTCTAGCCACTCCCAGCGTGCCAGACAACAGGCAACAGAGGCGAAGACTGCGAACTGCGACATCGTAACTGTTGCACCGCCTCTTGTCAATCGGGCAAGCAGGACATACTCCAACCAGTCATCTGACGCCGAGGTGCACAAGAGCGAGATGGCGAGAGAGAGAGAGAGAGTGTCTGTGTTGACTTCGACCTGGACACTTTGTGTTGCTTTCAAAGTACCGGGGCACTCAAAGTAGAGGTGAAGGGTTGAGTGGAAGGTCGAGGATGTCGAGGCAGTGACTGCGGGGGATCAGGCTTCCGTTCGGGTTACAGGCAGGGTCAGGCAGGAGAGGTTGGTTTACAATAAAGACACCCAGTTGTGTGCCACCCAGGCGCACCCGCCCGTTACTCATGTGGTTTAATGTTAGCTCCGACCTTGCCCCCACAGTGGCACACAAGACAATGGCCCGTCTCACAAACCCAATGAAACGTACAGACTCTCCATTTAACAACATGTTGGATGGGGAAGCGCCATGAGCGCGGGGCGCTGGGGCTGCCAGCGTTCCAACCCCAAAGCAAAGCAAAGCAAAGAGAGAATCCCGTTCCCTTTCAATGACAGTCGACAGCACTCGCTCGAAGCAGCGAGGAAAGCATGTTTTTCATCAAAGCCCCCATCTTTCCGAGCTCGCCCTCCACTGACATGCAGGGCCCCCTCAGCGTGACATATTCCCACATTACACTTTGGATGTATCTCACATACTGTGTTCAGTCAGTCAAGGGGGAGCAGTTAGGCGTATGTACCAGCCGAAGCACACCAAACTGCGGTCCTTTGGTCTTGGTTGTTGGTGCCCGGGTGTGAAGGGGAAACGATCCTTTAGTCACTTTCTTCCCGTTGGGGGATCGCATCCCGGCTGATTGTATAGCCGAGCCTTCAGGGGGGAACCCTTGAGGGGGTCAGTCCGCCAAAGACTGCGGGTGCGCGTTCGCGCGCGAGGGGGGTAGCCTGGATGCTGCTACCTTCCCCTTTGCACCGGTAGAGAGTCGAGAGTGGGGACGCGAGATAGAGAGAGAGAGAGAGAGCTCGTAGCTTAGTAGCCATTTTGGCTCAAGTCGACCTGCCGCTTCCTTCGGGGGGCGCTCGAGGACGGCCCGGTGAGGCTGCTGTTGGGAGCAGCAGTTTATCGGGTGGACGATCTTCTGAGCG